TATGTGGTTCTGTTTTGGGCCTTTTGGCCTCTGTTTCTCTGTTCCTTTTAAGACATGATGATGATTTTAATAAAATGCAGTGGATTATGTTTTCAAATTGATAGGCAAAAAAAAAAAGATGATTTTTTATTATTTTGTAAACGTAAACTGATAGTGAGATTAGGCAGGCTTAACCATTCCAACATTTTTATTCCAATTTTTGGTACATCAAGTTACACCCAACTAGTATGATAATTGCAATATCTATGATCCCGAATTTGCTCCATGTGGATATCCCGGAGCTGGCTAACAATATGCATCTAGATGTCCTGATATACGGGTACGAATGACGTCGTCCTGACTCTGACCGAATCGGGACCAAATTCTCGAGGTAAGGAGATATAACACAAATATTTAAGGCGAGACAACGAGTCTCATTTGTCTCTGGATTATATTTATACCTCTTGTAATTGTCACTGAAAACAACATCCCATCCCCTAACTTAGAAACCGTCACCAGCCTGAACCAAGTTTTCCAAGTTCAATCCCATTGGTTAATATTTAGACCATCTAAACTTATGGTGTAAGTCTTGCTCCATATTTCTTCTTCTGCATCCATGCTCCATATCACTAGTTTCCATTTAGCCCAAGTTTTCGAATTGACTATGGCTAGACGGTCCTGAAGATTCACTATCTGGGTTTCAAACGAGACCCACGTTGTTGGAACCGACACATCGTGAAACTCTAGTGTGTGAAGATTCAACGCTAGAATTTCGAAACCCGGCCAAACTTGTAACCAGTAAATTGACCCATTCACTCACACATGCTTCCTTCCCACAGGTCTCCTTCCCACATCGACCTTGTAAGCAGGTGGACTCACTTTCCTCCATTCACCAATGTTGACATCAAGAATCTCCCAATAAAAGTCTCCATCAAGGAACATCCTCACTACTTTAGCAGTTTAGCTCCCATTAACTTTGTCTCTACCAAATCCCATGACACAATTTCCTGAAAAATTTTGATTTTTTTGTTTTCTTTAGATGACCCATTAAAGAAAAAGAAAAAAAAAAGTTTTGATTTTTCCCTTTGGAGGACGCTGGATCTGGGCCGGAGCAGAATCGGCGGAGTTGTCGGGTGGATGGGTTTAAGACGACCACACAATCTGGTTCGGGGAAGCAGACCAAATCGTAATACTAATATTTTTAATTAAGAAAATCACTACTTAATATCCAGCTTAATTATTTAGATATCTAATAAATATTTCATCAATAAAATATTAATTTTTTAATATAATTAACTTAAAAATTTTATGTTAAATTTTCATTAATAATTTTAAACATATCATAGTACATTTTGAAATATAATTTTAATTTTAAAAATCCTAGTTTTTTTATTAAAATATTATAACATTATATTAACTAAAACAATATTAGTTTTATATTTTGTATTAGTTTTATGTATAATGGACACTGATATGTAGATAATTTTATTTTATGATTTTTATAAAATAAAAAATAAAAATAAACAACATATAAAATTTTTAATCAATATTTTAAACTAAAAGAATATGATATATGGAAAAAGTTGAGAATTAATTGACAAGTGTCAAATTTTTGAAGAGAAAGTAAATCTCTCATGAGTATCTCAAATGACAGATTTTCTCAAAGGTATCTCAACAAATTTTATTAAAAAATTATTTTTGTTTTAATTCTGATTTATTTTTTTAATGGGGGTTTCTCATTAGAGACACCAATGGAGATGTTCTTATATTTGTAATCATCAAAATAAAATCAAATAAAAAGGGAATGTGAATAAACAAATATTTATCATTATATCTTGTCTACGACAAAAAAATAAAATAAAAATTATCTGTTGTCTAAGATAAGTAACTCCTAACGAGCTAACCATATATAAACCAAATATTACTACTAATTTATTTTTTGTTTTTAATAAATAATTTAAAAAGATAAATGTCAAAAAATTAGATGATACACGACAGTCTCTTATAACTTGAAATTTGAAAAACCTTACTATATTATATAAGAGTTGTGACATAGGGAGTGTTTTTTCGGTAGGCTTTTCAATTACTATAAGTCTACGTTTGTTCGCTGATTCCAATATTCATAACTAGTGTAAGGTTTCAAAATATCAATTAGTATAATGGTCCTTGGTCTTGGAACCGAATTGTTACTAGATCAATTAGTACAGTATAAAGATCAATTACTAGCTAAATTGTTGGAACCGAATTATTTGGCACACTTCATATAGATCAAACGAAATTGATTGTAGGTAAATCGAACCACATATCCTTTGGTCTTTTCAGAAGAGTCTTTCCCTGCAAATTAAATGTACAATTAATAACTTTTTATTTAATAAAATTAAGGATAAATTTTTTAACAAATAAAAACAACACTCCTTTTATTTCACAAAGAGTGTCATTTTACCATTAACTATTACTTGTCTTTTGTGTTCCTGATAGACTTCATCTATATCTATAAAAGCACCCCAAAAAAAGAGTCATAATTAATTATCTTTAAAACTAAATAACCAAAATAGTTTATGGATACTGACCTCTGGCAATTCTGACAGTGAAGACAACCAAAAACTGTAGAATTTAAAAGACTGTCTACTTGTCTAGACCTTTTGAAAGATTGGATGAGCGATAAGTTATATGTTCGAAGTGCTTCCGGAGATATTAAACCCTTCACGTAGTAGTGTGATAGAAATTTATTGGATATATGTGTTCAAATATCAAATGATACTTGTCTCAAACCTCTATTTTATGAGATCATCTTTCCAAAACAGTAGATTTGATCATCATATTGAGACATTCTATCAAATCATCACATCGTCCATGAGGATCTGGAATTACAGTTTTATCGACAGATAAACTGATGATAATCTTGTTTACGTAGCTTACAAATGGATATTGATGTTCAACAAAACATAAACAAAAACAAAATTATATTAATTCATTTGATCAAAGTTTCATATAACTTTTGTCTCAACAAATGGATATATAACTAGGACATGGTATATTTACTAACTTACATATGGAACAATTCTTGAAAAAATGAAAGAAATACACAAATTATTGCACAAATTCTTTTCTTGTCCAAACTATGAGCGTAGCGCAGATCAATCTTGCGTATGAGCACTAAATCTCTAAATCACCATTCAATATTTTTGATGTGTTAGTTGTAATTCTCCCGTTAAAGTAAGGATAAGTTTAGTGGTAATTATTGATAAGATTATCGGTAATTATGGATAAAATAGTTATGGATTAGATTACTTTTTTAGTTAATTTTCTTTTTTTGATGAAAAAAGTTTGTTAGTTAGTTACAAACTATATAAACTCCCATAGTACATTTACATTTTCATTAATGAGAAATACAGCTTAACCTTCTCTTTTTCTTAGTT